CCCCCCCGCCGCCGCCGGGCCCCGGCCTCCCGGCCCCGCACCGGCACCGCCATGGACCCCTGCTCCTCGCTCTTCAGCTACGTGTGAGTACCCGCAGCCCCTGCCCCCCCCGCCCAGGTCCTCGCAGCCCTCCGGTTCACACCTCTCTCCTGCTTTCTCTCTCCCGCTTTCTCTCTCCCCTCTTCCCAGGTTAATGCACTTGTTCGTCCTCTGCCTGCAAGCTCAGGTAAGTGCCCGCCTGGCCGCCCGGCTTTGTTCGCCCCTTGGGGATGGGGGTGCCCGGGGGCCGCCGAAGAGTGCCCCGGGCTCGGGAGGGAGGGAGGAAAGAGGAACACTTTAAAACGCAGGAGACAAAAGTCGCCCGGCTGTAAAAAGCCGAGGTCGAGGAGGGGAGTCCCCCGGCTGCAAAACGAGGTGCGGGAGGCTTGGGCTGTAAGGCAGGGAGTAGCCGGGTTTTCAAGGAATCGCGCAGGGTTGTTTTTAAAGTAGCTTTAGGTCCCGTCCCCGCCACATCTAAATGGCACTGGGGATACCCCCGTTCCTCTTCTCCGGGATCTGTTTTCCTGCGCTGCTTCATCCGAAAAGTAAAGCTGCATTAAAAAAGGGAAAATAAGTCCCCACCAAAGCCTTACTAAAAATCTCGAGTTTTGATTCAGCTTAAAACTGTCAGACTTTAGCATCACTGGTTTGTGTCGCCAGGGACAGAAGTGTCACGAATAGATTAAACAGCCCGGGCAGAGTTTGTGCAACACCCGCACACCGGCAGGCACGCGTGGCTGGGAGCCGTGTGCCTTCAAACCAGGGTGAAGCCCCCTTCCCCTTGAGATCACAGGTGCAGAAGCTTTGTTTAAATGCCTCTTGAGCTAGTTGTTATTATAATTATTATTATTTTCCTGGAAGCTTGGGGGGGGGGAGAAAAAAAAATCGAGTTTCCAGCTGAAAAGTGAAGGGAACGAAGTGCTGGGAGTGTGCAGTTGTATAAAAACATAGCTGTAATATTTTGGAGTACGAGATGGAGACCAAATACCAGCGTGGTTAATGACCTCTCCTCCACATGGTACCCTCATCAGAGCTGGGGAGAGAATCCTGCTGCATTATCCAAAACCCGTCTATAGGAAACACACATGAACAGGCAGAAGCAGAGGGAGAGAGATGACATCGTCAAGGGGAGATATCTCTATAAAGCCAGCTTTGGGAGAGCAGCAGCTTTTGCTTTTATTGGGTTTTTTTGTTGTTGTTTAAGATGGGAGGAAATCTTCCCATTTGACGCGGGGTGTAGTGGGGGGTAGTCCCAGCCTTCTGATGTTGAAAGGAGCTATCTCCTAACATTTGCTCAGAATACATCTTTATAAATGTCAGGGAGCAGCGAAACTTTCCAGACTTAAAAGAGGGATTTGAGACAAGAGGGGGGAAAAAGATTTCTGTGCAAGCTTGCAACCAGAGCTGAAGGGGGAGCAGGTTTGGTGGCTCATGAAAATCATTTAAAGCCCAGGAACAGCAGTGTCGGGTTTGGAGGGGACGGGCTCAGCTGCAGCTCCGGGGCTAACGGGTTTGGTGGGCTGGGGACAACCGTGCTGCTGGCACCGAGCAGCTGGGTGAGGATGAGGGAAGTGTTTGCATGGATAGTGCTTTAGTTTCCTTAGGTTTTTATGCCACTAAATACCTAGGCTAGGGCGTGGGTTTCTTCTAGTTCTTCACAACTCTACCTTCTCCGGGCACTTCGTATTTAAATAGCTCAGTAAGTGGGGTGCTTGGGGGCAAATAAAGCCTGGAGCAGAGGAAAGGCAGCTGCTGAAACTGATGGGGCAGCGGCTGGGGTACACGCAGCAGTGTGCTCCTGCAGGGTGAAGTCAGATGTGGGATGAGAGTATCAGCACCCCGGGGGGACAATCCGGTGCTATCCTTTGTGGGCCCCCTGGACCCTTCCCAGTGCCCAGACTTGATGCCCATCTCAGGTGCTCCAGTGCCAGTTGGGACCCACTGAGTCCCAGGGAGGCCTCTGGAGTCACTGAGCCCCTGTTGTGCTCCAGAGCCATCTGTGCCTCTCTGCTTAGGGCATGTGTGGAGCGGGCACAGCTCTGTAAAGGGTTGCTTCTGTAAAAGGTTGCTTCGTCCGTGGGCTTAGTGCTTCTTCTCTCAGGGAGGCTTTGCTGGTGCAGGAGGTACGCCCGTGGTCCTGGCTCCGTGCCTCCCCACCAAGCCCGGCTGGAGGCCGGCAATCTCGGCTCAGCCCATTCGCCTCTCTGAGGAGTAGAGATTATAATGGTGTGTCGTATATTTTTTAATTTCCTAAAGGTAACTGTTCAGTCCCCACCTAATTTTACACAGCATGTGAGGGAGCAGAGCCTGGTGACGGATCAGCTCAGCCGGCGGCTCGTCCGTACCTACCAGCTGTACAGCCGGACCAGTGGGAAACATGTGCAGATCTTGGACAACAAGAAAATCAATGCGATGGCAGAGGATGGAGACGTGCACGGTAAGGACGTGCGATGGGGGCAGGTGGAGTGGGGGGGGAACGGGGAGGTGTTTGCAGCCCGGCACGGCAATTGATGATTTCCGTCCTGTTTGTTAGCCAGAAATCATTAAAATAATTCAGCTTGTGGGGGCTTGTAAAGGGAGAACATAAGGGTCAGTGATCAGCGACTGTGTGATTCAAGGTGAGGGCAAGTTTCCTGTGCCAAGGGAGGGGATCGGTGCTTTGGGATGGGCTCTGCTCTTCTCTTTTCCATTCTCGCTTTGCACCTGACTTGGAGGGCTCTGGGCTGCGGCGTGCTGAGCAGCACCAGTCATTTAAGTCCAGCTTTTTACAGGGCTGGGTGTCTCTGAGATTTCCATTTGGAAAATAAATGGAAAGTTTAAAAAGAAAAGGAGGGAGGAGAAGGTGAATAGCTGCTTTGGAAATCTTCCCTCAACCAGAAGTCGCATTTTCCTGACATATCCCCCGTCCCTCCCTTCTCAAAACAAATCCTGAGCGGAGGGTCAGTGAGGCAGTTGGCTGTGGGAGAAGATTCTGCCGTATCTCCAGAGACAATGCCAGGGGGACTCAGCGAGCGTGAGAGCCTGTGCTCTGCTACAGCCCCTCTGCCGCAGCCTGGGTTCTGCACCCTCTCCCTAAAACTGCTGCCCCTCCTCCGGGCAGGGGAATGGTCCTTTTGTGGGAGACTCCTGAAGTCTAATGACACACCGGGACGCCAAACACCAGGCAGGGGCCAGCGGGGCCCGCGAGCCCCGGCACTGCCACGGGGCCTGATCCTGCACCCGGACCTGAGAGCTGCTCACGTGTGTTGTACGTAGGAATCACAACTGTTTTACTTTGGTATTAGGTGCAATTTCCCTTTCTTGCTTGGGGAGATTAGTAGAAACGGTTTTCTTCCTTCTCCTTCTATTTTTCACTTTTCTTTCTTCCTTTTGCTTAAAATTTCAGGCTGGACTTCAGCAGTTCAAGTGAAGCACAGATTCCATCTATATGGTATTCTATACATCCAACATTAATCTTCCAAATGAACTATTCTCACCCTAGAGCAGCCTGAAAGGGCATTAGCTAATTTCCCAAGCAAAAGAATAAAAAATCCCATCGTGTTTTAGTCCTATAATGCCTGGATTTTAAAAGGCAGTTAGTGCATATTTAAATAACGACCAGGTTTAAATAAGGCCAGAAGGAGAGGACTGGTGGTGGCTTGAAAACTCTATTAAAATGTAATAAAAAAAGGTTAAGCATTTGAAGAGCTAAGGAGGAAAATGAGGCCTGATCTAAACCAGAAAGAGAACAAGCAGTTTTTCAGATGTAAAGTTTTAAAAGAGTTGCAAGTCTGTAAATGTTAAAATAGAGGTTCAGGATTGTTCTATATGAATCTCTAGGGAGGCCCCCATGTCTGGAAGAACTATTAAAACGCTTCTTACTTTCACCTTTTTTAACATTTCCTGAATACTTTCTCCTCTTCGCAGTCCAGTTGGGGGATCAAGTGTGTCTCGCTGCATTTTTTCAGCATTTACGTAGCCACTTTCCCTTCAAAGTTCGAGCATGAAACATAATTTTACTGGGATAAATCTGTCACTTCAGTAAAAGAATAGAGTTGAAAACGTCAAGCTCTCCTCTCCCCTGACCCACCCCCCTCCAAAAAAAAAAAAAAAAAAGGAAAAAAGTGTCCCCCAAAATATTATGTAGAAATTCACTTTTAAAGAAAGGAGCCTCCCTCCCTGAGTCCTTCCTTCTGCCTTTTTTTTTTAAATCTCATTTTTGGGGGTGGGAGTGTAAAAGGGGTTGATTTATTTTTGCAGATGACCCCTTTCCCCACGCTGACATTTTTACAGCCGACTTAACATCAAGTCTGGCGTTTTCAGTTATCTGTCTTAATTGTCAATATTTGATTGACTTTTTTTAATTCTAGAGGAAGGCTAGTGGCTGGTGCAGCCTAACTCATCCCCCCCAGGCTGTGCCTGCCACCAAGCAAACCCACGGTGGCTGCAGCCTGGGCTAAACCCTCTGAGTGGCTGGGGATACTGGCACAGCTCCCTGATGACATGCTGGTTTTGTCTGCACCCAGGTTTTTCTGCTGGTCAGGGTTGGGGTTTGTGAGGTTTGTGTTTTACTCACAGGGATCTGGAGAAGCAGGTCCCTGGGGATGAGCTGTCCTCATCCTCTGCTGCCAGCGGCTGGTGGGGCTGGATCTGTGCACTGGCCAGGCTCACGCGGGGCGGCAAACCTGTGCGGCAGCCGTAAATCACAGGGGGGGGGAAAAGAAAAAGGCCCAAAGAGAAGCAATGTGCATCTTTAAAGAGGGGTTTTGTGCTCGCTGGGGCCGAGGCCTCCCCAGCTCCCTCCCTCTCTCCTCCCTCCCTTCCCTCCCTCTCTGCTCTTCCTATCTCTCAGAGAGAAAAATCAATTCTCCTCAAACCTTTTACTGCCTCCAAGATCAATTCCCCCCCCTTGCCTTCCCCAATACAGATAAATAGGGGGTCACTGTCTCAGTGCTTTGTTTGCAGAGCACCACAGCTCCTGTAGCTGGTTTTGAGGATGCTGGGTGTGTGTTAAAGCTCTGGGCATTGGTGATGGGGTGGCACAGCCTGGAGTTGGCTCTTCCCAAATTTCTTGGCTCTGAGTCCAGTCTGTGCCTGAGTGGGGGTGGGAGGCTGTGGGCACAGGGCAGTTTGGCAACGAGAGATGCTGCAGAGTGATTTTGGCAGAAGGGAGTGCAGGGAGGGGGTGCCTGCATGCGCATTGACCCTGGCTTGCCTGGCAGCACCAAATTAGTGAGCCCCAGCAAATTTTGGGCTGTCCTCTCCATTGCTCAGATCAGCTGCTGCCAGCTCACTGTCCTCTCTGTGCCATTGACCTCATCAGTGTTCATGATGGGAGGGATGCAGGACCAGGGTTTGGCAGAGAAACAGAAGCAGCAGTTCTCTTCTAGGCTGGAGTGTGACTTAGGCTCGCTCTAATTTGTGCATGTGCCTGCAGCCTCCTCCTGCCATTCAAAACATCCTCCAGTAAAGCCACCTGCTCCAGAGCCACATTACTGCCCTCACTGGGGCTCATAGGTGTCTGAGCATCCTGGGGAGAGATGTGCAAGCTGGGGCAGACCCCAGTTCTGAGGAGCTGAGCAGCCCTTCTGCAGAGATTGGAGTAGAGAAATAAGGAATCTGTGTCTTTATTCCCATAATACAGCTGTGGACTTGGAAGCTTTGCTGGTGGCGCTCTAATTACCTTGCTAAATTGCACTTATGGCACTAAGGACTAATGTTGGGCTAGAGGTGATGGTGGTGAGATGGGACAGTCATGGCTGGTTTTCAGTGCTGTGGGGAAATCTTTAGTGTTTGGCAGAGCTCTTTGGAGGTGCAAACAGGTAGCCACCATCCCCATCAGTGCTTGCCCCAAGGGATGATCTGGCTCTGGGGACCACAGCTTCTAGGCCAGGGAGAAGGTTGTCCTGTCCCCATCCTCCTCCATCCCTGGGGATGGATGGGCTTTGAGGCTCAGGTTCCCAGGGTGGAGGCAGGGAGGGAAGGTGACAGGTCTATTTATAGGCAGCCCATCGACCCTGTGATTTGCATAGCTCCTTCGGAAGTCGATCGATGCTTCCATTAAAAAACTGAGACCAAATCAATATGCCCTCTCGACTTGTGCAAAGGTGAAAAGCATTAAAAGGATGGCCGTACCCTTCATTCCTACCCTGCCAGCTGCAAAGTCACTGCTCCTCCTGCAGCCCTGGCCTCGCAGAGAGGCATGGAATGGTGTCCCCTGGGCTGGGGACAGCTGGCAGCATGCTGTGAACTTCCAGAGGGTTCCTGCCTGTTTCCTGCCAGTAGGCTCACACAGAACTGCCTCTGTTTGCAGGGCAGTTGGCTTGTTCTCTACCAGCCAGCGTGTGCCCTGTTTGCTGCCTTGCATCCCTTCTGGAACATCTCTGTGGCACCTGAACTGCTAAGCCCTGTGGAGCAGGGCAAGGCAGGGGTACTCGCCCTCCAGCATGGCTCAGGGTTGTAAAGAGATGTGACCAAGGCTATGCAGGGACACAGTGGCAGGGTAGAGGGACCAAGGTTGGCTCTTAATCTTTTGCCCTTATTTTAGGACTTTCTCTGGCCCAACTTCCTCCCTGCTCAGTGTGTGCCTACAGTGCCCAGCATCAGGCATTGCTGGGATCTCCAACCCGGTGCCTGCACCCTTGCAGAGCCTCTCTGACCTCCCTCTCTCTTTTCTTCCACTTCCCTCCTCAGCCAAGCTCATCGTGGAGACAGACACCTTTGGGAGCCGCGTACGTATCAAGGGAGCAGCCACAGGTTTCTACATCTGCATGAACAAAAAGGGGAAGCTGGTCGGAAAGGTAAGACACTGGGATCAAGGGCACACGAGAGCCAGGGATGCTCTGTGGGTGTTGAGTCTCTGTGGCAGAGGAGCTCTTACCCAATATGGACTGCTTCTGTGGGGATAGGAAGGCAGGATGGGAGTCCTGGGGACTCAGCTAGTGCACCCCTTTGGAGGCCTGAGGGATGCAGCCCTGGGTGGCAGGCAGGAAGCAAGGGAGCAAGGGAGGAGGCGGGTGCAGTGTAGGGTGCATTCCTTGTATCTCCCAGAACAAATAGGCAGATTGCTGGGCTATTCTCCCCAATTACATGGTACAAGTGCTAGGAATGTTAAGATGCTCCATGGGGCTGGCCTCAAGGCCAGGCCCCACCACACACCAGTTAGTCACGCTCCCTCAGAGCCTCAACACTCCCTCCCTGGGGGCAGAGGGGGCTGTATGTGCAAAATCCCACTGGGATAGCAATTGTCTGGGAGGATTTTCTATGGCAGCTCCCTCCCTGGGACTGGCTAATGCAGGTCCCCTCCTCTGGTCCCAGTACTGCCTGACACTGGGAGAAGCTCAGCCTCCAGCTGCCCCCATGCTCTCTGCCACCTGCGGCCGTGGGCATCATCCCCATGGACCCCACATCACTTCTGCTCCTTGATGCCCCTCCTAAATTGAAGACCCTGGGAGGGATAGGATGGGTGGATTAGTTGCTGCCGAGATGGAGAGTTTGCTTGTGGTCACTCTGGCAGGGGAATCCAGTCCCGGGTATGGAAAAGAGCAGGAGTGGGCAAAAATGCCTTTAAGCGTGCAGTGGTAATGAAGGCTGGAATGAGCTGCATTTCAGCTTGCAATCCAGTGCTGGCATCACACTGGCGATGTGACCTGCAATGAGCAGTGTCTGCCTGTGCCCCAGTGCCCCCTCCCTATGGCTTTCAAAGGAAAAGCAGATTTTTGGCAATTCTGACCTGTAGGAGAAGAGGTGGGCAGAGTGAAGCCCTTGGCTGCCCACAAGCCCTGCAATGCTGCTGCCACCCCATCCACTCCAGCTTGGGTAGCAAGAAGAAGCCTCTGACTGAGTGCCCGTTGCTTACATCTCCCCCTCTGTCCCTTTCTCAGAGCAACGGGAAGGGCAAGGACTGCGTCTTCACTGAGATAGTCCTGGAGAACAACTACACGGCGCTGCAGAACGCCAAGTACGAGGGCTGGTACATGGCCTTCACCCGCAAGGGCCGCCCGCGCAAGGGCTCCAAGACCCGGCAGCACCAGCGGGAGGTTCATTTCATGAAGAGGCTCCCCAAGGGCCACCAGACCACCGAGCCCCACAGACGCTTTGAGTTTCTCAACTACCCCTTCAACCGGAGAAGTAAAAGGACTAGAAACTCCAGCTCCAGGGTGAACCCTTGACTCGCCTGCCTCTGCCCGCCCTGCCTGCACCTCTCCCGGAGGACTCTCCTCCAAGCTGGTGGACTATATGTGAAGACTTTCCCATATGGGTATTAAACTGAAAAAAGGGAGGGGGGGAAGAAAAAAAAATTTACCTGTTCTAGTTGATAATTTTGGGGGTTTGTTTGGTTTTTACAAAAAAAACAAAAAAGGACAAAAAAAAAAAAAGAGAAGCTCTATTTTTGTACTCCAACTTTAAAAGTAATGGAACGTTCAAAGACTGGTGAAGGGGGAAGAGCTCTTCGCTTAGAAATGATTTAGTCTGTTTGGGGTCATGTTTTATTTTGTAGTGTTTTTTTTTTTTTTTTGTAGCTCTAGGGATAAAGGAGAGAAAAAAAATCACCATTTAAAACAAAAAAGGAAATCCAAATCTGGGAGCAATGTGTTAGTTAAGAAAACTGAATTAACGCTTACGGGAGAAGATGAGAGGTTGGAAAACAATTAAGGGAAGGGGATTTATTTCAGAAGTGGCCTGAGGTCTCCCAGGTGGGTTTTGCAGCCTGGGTGATGTGTGGGCTCTGCCCACGGGGGCTGGCTGCGATGCCTGGCTGAGGACACTACTGCCTGCTTCCCTTCCTCGGATGGGCCTGCTTCTTTGGCTGAGCGAGGGGTTGCTGGAAACAGTTTGTATCCTTCAAAAAACGCTGCTGTTTTCCCAACTCCCAACTTATTTTTTTCTCAGGAAAGGACAGGGGTGATGAACACCTCAGAGAAAGTCCTGAACTGACTTGGTACCTCTTACCCACAGGAGCATCTTTGGCATTTCATTTGTTTTAAACTACTAAGGTGAGGCAGTGGGCTATGGCTGCTGTGGAGCGGGCTAGTTACTGGTATTATTTTTTTTCTTCCATATGGAAAATGTGAACTTCTCACCAAAAACTAGTATTTTTTTTCTGTTTCTATTTTTTATTAGATGGAAGTTTTCATCCATAAAATTAAAAAGACTTTGCAAATTACTGTGGAGCCATTTCAGGCTGGTTTTGTCATAATCTTCACTTTACGTTGTCAACCATTTCTTCCAGGTTTGTTCTTTGAGAAATACCATGGTCCTTATCCTCCTAGGAAAGGTTTTCCTTTAAAACTTGTGTTGACAGAAGCCGAATTTCTATACATACAAAAAAAACTCAACAACAAGCAAACAACCCAAAGGAAACATTGAATCTCTTGAATGAACATCCCCAGCCAGCCCTGCTCTGCACATTCTTCCCTGGGATTGCAACTCTCTCCGAAGGGTTAAAGCAATCATTCTTCATGGGGAGGGCAAACAAAGACACTGGATAGGAGCCAGAACCAGGGGTGACTTTTCATCCAATATTTTTGATTGTTTGTTTTTTGTTTCCTTGAGGATATTTTTTTTGGTTTTTTTGGTTGTGTACAAATTGAATATGAAATGATTGAAATATTTATTTAATATGTGCATTAAAAAATTGTATTAGTCTAACAGCCTGATGCTTTCCAGGGAAGGGCTTGGGCTGGGGAGGTGGATTGGAAAGGGGTGGAGAAGGGCTGTGAGATGCAGGATGGGGCTGAGGCTGTTGCCTGGTGTGAGACCCTTCCTGAGGGAACAGAGGTGGGAAGTGGGAGGATTCCCCAAGATCCCAGTCCCAGATGGATCTTGTGGAGATCATGGTTTTCCTTGCAGCAAATTCCAGGTTTAATGGGCAGATGCCAGCTCCTTGCCCTGGCTGGCTGATTACAGGCTGGATGGGGGCATAGTGCAGCAGAGCCTTGGTGACTGGTTTTAGGCATGGGATGAGGTTCCCAAGAGAGAAGGCTGGTGTCTGCTCCCCTCTCTTCTAGATGAGTTTGCTGTCTGTGCAAAAGGAGTTACTGGGTCCCTTCCTTTAGTGGATACTCAGGACTGCTAAGGTGCTAAGTCTTGCCCAGAGAAGCTGGTGGGGGACTTGTATATGGAGTGGTCTCAGATAGGGAAGGATGCCAGAATAAAATTGCTAAATAAGTTTTTCTTAAAAAAAATAAAAATAACTGCAGAAATAGAGCAGTCTTGCAAGGTGAGAGTCTCACTATTGCCAGTGTTAACCCCACTGGTGCTGCCATCCTCAGGGGGTGCCTGCAGCACTGCTTCGTGCTCAGGGTGTTGGTCATCTGTGGGGTGTGAGGATGGGCTATTCCCTGGCTGATGCTATAGGCTGGGCTGAGCTGCCAATATGTATTAATTTCATGGAGGGAAGCCTAGGAACTGGGTACTCTGATCATCACTGCTGCATCACAGAGATGGTGGGTGGTGCTTGGGCTGTAGGACAGTGTTGCTGAAGGGCCTGGCTGTCTCAGGGGGGAGCCAAGGCTGGAGCTGACAGTGCTGGGGCAAGCCCGGGTTGTGGTTGCCATGAGTACAGGAACTAAAAGCAAATAGCTCCTGGCCTTTCCCCAGGCAGAGATCATGTTTGATAGTTCTTAATGGGTGATTTTCTTTCATTAATTTGTCTAATTGTTTTTCCTAATGACTTTGTGAACCTGGGTGAATTGGTGCTGGGTTGCTGCTCCAGCTAAGGGTAGCTGAGAGGCAGGACTAGTTCCATGCGGGACAGCAGCCATCTCCCTTGTTATCTGTCCCCCCAGGGACAGTGATGGTAAGGAAAGGCATGGCGTGGGTGCTCAGCCTCCAGAACGGCAGTTCCCCTACCCTTGTTGTTCTAGGCTGGAGCTGAGAGCTGGAGCAGGGGGCACCTGGCACCCTGGGGTTTGAGCTGAGGCAGGACACCTCTGCATCATTGCACAGCTCTGTACCATACACCATCCCCAGCTCCTGCTTTCTGCTCTACTGCAGTCTGCCTTTGTGAAAGGCACCCAGGCCTGGCTCTTGGGAAGGGACCTTCTGCTTTCCCACCTTGGTAAGTCCATGGTTAATTAGCCTCTTTTCATTAAGAGGCTTTTGGTTGGCCATGCTGCCTAGGAGCACTACAACTTGGGGCTTTGTTTATTGCTTGAATTTGTCCAGCTTCAGCTTCTAGCCAGAAAATGTTGTTTTGCCTTTGCTTGGAAGATTAAAGACCCCACTACTAGTTAGTTAATGAGTAAGTGAATTAATTAATGGCTCCTCATACCCTGTCTCTGCACTGATACCACTTAGTCCTTGGCATGGCTGAAGCAGCTCGTACTCTTCCTGTTGACCTGGGTCCTGAGTGTGTGGTCCACTAGGGCTGGTAGCTCCACCACCCATGCAGGGAGATGGGGACAGTCTCTGGTGGTACCTGGTGTTCCTCCAGGGATGCAGAAACGCTGGCTGCTCGTCAATTGTGCAGGGTTGATCACCAGTCCCAGGAATCTGGGACCTTTTCCTCCTCCATCACCCTCAGTGTGGACCCAGCTTGAGAGTCACAGCCACCATAAGGCCCTGGGGACTGCAGGACACTGAGCCAGGGCTGGACCCTGGAGGGTACTGGAAACAGGAGGCTTTGGGGGTGGGTGTTTGTTTCCATCAACTCATGCTGTTAGCACTGGTGTTTTGGGCAGAAATCCCTGCTGCAAGTTTGCAGTCCTTGTGATGGAGATGTGACTTTTCCTGGTGCTTCTTCTCCCAGTGTCACCCTGTGGGTCTCTCACTGCTATCAGCTGGGAGGTGGCAGATGAAGCAGAATAAGAGCTGTACTGTCCTGGCTGTTGGCACAACGGTGATCATGTGCCCCTGCCCATATAGGATTTTGCTGTGTGATGCTGTCTGGACACAGCAACAAGGCTGGAGCTAAGTGAAGTTTGGAGGAGTCTGTCTCATGAGACAAGACTGGGAAGCCTGCCTGGTCCAGCCAACCCACGGTAAGAAGCAAATGTGGGGCATCACCAGGCAGGGAGAAGAGCTGATTTCTCTGGCAGAGAGACAGTAGACAGGCTGGAGTAAACCAATGTGCCAAGAAAAGGGCTCTGTACCTTCTGAGCAGGGGCTGCACCAAGCTTTGATCCACCAAGACCCAAAGCTTTCTGCCCACGCTGTCTTCACTCCCAACCCCTCTCTCCCTGTACAAACAATGTTGTTCTTCATTGCAGGGGTCACCCATGACAGCTTTGCTGAGAGGTCTCCTGGGAGAAGGGTGCCCACTGAGCAGGGTGGGCTGTGTGATGCTGTGGCAGGGATGGGGCTCACTCAGGCCCCCTTGGGCATGCCCCCATCTTGGGAAGGAAGACCGGTGTGTTTGTTTATTGCATCAGGCTCAGCTTTCAAACATCTCCCTGCCATTCCCATCCCCCTCCTTTAATTAATTCTGGGTAAGAAGTCTTGGCTTTATTGTGCCACCGAGCTGAGGGCTCTCTGTGGGAAAAGTCACACCTTCTGAACAGCTTCTGATACCATGCAAATGAAGGACAAGTCCAGGAAACGCTTTCATCTCGGACCTGTCCAGCCTCCTGCCCATTAATTACACACATTTCATTTGTGTGAGAGCAATTCCTCTTGGGGAGGGGGTAGGGGTGGCTGCAGCTTGGCGATCATCTCAGCTCCGCTCTCTAAAGACCTTTCCTTGGAAGGGGTTTTATAGCCAGAAACGTGGATGCTCAGGGGCTCAGTGGGGGATCCCATATTTCTGCTCTCACACAGATACTCCAAATCAAACTGGCTCATCAGTGGGCTACATCCTGCCAGCAGGGAGAGCTCAGCACTGCCCCACACCCTGCTCGGTGCTAGCAAGCCCTAGCTGTGGATCCAAGTGCATGGGAGCATCCTGGAGGGAGACATGGGATGGAGCAGAAATTAACCCAATGCTGTCCCAGGGGAGTGATTCTCCAGGGTAAGGAGATCCTAAGATGGGTAACTTTGGGCAGGGTGACCACAAAATTAGTCTAATGTATGAAAACATCTTCCCATGCTGGTCCTGAATTGTACGTGTTGGTGGACTGTGTCATACTGTGGCAGAGTTCAAAGCCTTCTTGTCCATACATGGATCAGACCCATTTCTCCCATTGAGCCTTGGTCTCTCTGTGTTCCTCTCCTTTCTGCACAGCCCCTCTGA